GGCAGAGAGATGGGGAGTGAGAGGGAACCCCAAGCAGGCTCTGCATGATCATCATGGAGCTGGAGTTGGAGCTTGAACTCATGAACTGTGAGATCTTGACCTGAGCCGAAATCAAGAGTTGGTAGCTTAGCCGACTGAGCCACCCAGGTGCCCCTGAAGTTGTAAACTTGTATACCCTACTTCTGCTGTGCCCTTTAGCTTTCTTGTTCTCACACATATGCATCCCGTTTTGGTCTTTCCTTCCTTCCTTATCTAGCCCTGAACCCATTCAGCACCTGACCACTCCTTTGGTTAAAACTTTCAATCACTCAGAACCTGTGACTTTATGTTCTATCCATTTGGCAAACCCAGCAATGGATTAACCAAATTCTGTTTCTATAAACATTGAATTGTTTTGTTTTTATTTATTTTTTTAATATTGAGTACTTTGAGTACTACTACTACTTTTTGGTACCGGTACTACGTACGCCTGGTATTCAGCTTTGCCAAAGGCCTCTCACCACCCACCTGCCCTGTCTGCTCTCATTCCCCCACCCCCATAGGACAGCTTTGTTACACCTTCACCAGCCTCCTCACATGACCCCTCCCCCAACACACACATTCGCAGTCTTGTCTTATACTTAACAACACAAACGGCTATTAGCCTTTTTTCTCCTTCATCTTAAGCCTACAAACTTGTCTTTTGATGTACTCATCCTTGCTTTTTTTCCTCTTGTCTATGGAAGAAGTATTTCTTCTTCTGTCTTAGGTTAATTCTTCCAATGTCCCATCCTCTCCCACTGTCTTATGAAAATCACCCGCTGAATTATTCTCACATTTCAACTCTCCCTTCTTACTGGCTTTGTTCACTTGGCATAGATAAGCTTGCCTCTCCTTTAATAAAACACCTCCCTCAATCTTATGCCTTCCTCTAATTATCATTTTATCACTACCTTATCTTTTCAGATAACTTATTTTAAAAAGTTGGACTTTCCCATGGGGCACTTGGGTGGCTCATTGGGTTGAGTGTTGACTCTTGGTTTCAGCTCAGGTTGAGAGCTTAGCGCGGAGCCTGCTTGGCCTTCTCTCTCTCCCTCTGCCCCTCTTCCCCACTCAGGCTCTTTCTCTAAAAGATAAAAAGTTGGATTTTCCCATTTTTCCTTTTTTTTCTTAGCCTACAGAATTCTGCCTTTTCTCATTATACCTCTGAAATAAACGTGCTTAGTTTATCAACATTCTTATAGGGAAATTCCCTCCAGCATTTTATAATGCTGACCATCTCCTCCTTGAAACTTTCTCCTCTGTGTGTCCATGAATGAATCTCATTTTTCTCTAGCCTCTCTTTATCGGTTTCTATCTTAGGCTGGCTTCCTCAGAAGAAAATAGAAAAGGATTGTATGCAAGGAGTTTATTTGGGAGGTGATCCCAAGAAACACTGGTCGAGAAGTGGGGAGGTGAGTCCGGGAAAGGAAGGCAGGCAATATAGGGCATGTTAATGAGCAGGTTATAGCTGTGGGCAACTGAGGCTCGATGCCACTGACAAACCTTCAGGAGACTATGGAATATACACTTTGAAGTTGCTCCACCTGGGGAATAATGCCCTGGGGTATTCATCCACTATCTGGTAGGAAAAACTCTTCCTTTATCCTCTTAGGTTCAATTTCTGGAGTGTAAGTTTAATGTCAACAGACAGATGAACAGGAGAGAAAGAGAAAAAAAAGTTCATCACATACATATGAAACAAAGTGACTCCCTAAACAGTTAAAGATTAGGGTTTATGTACCTAAATTAGTAGGGGACAGGGAGAGGGGAGAAAGGCCTTCTGTGGGAAGAACTAATGGATTTCTAGAGGAACAAACGAGATGAGTTTGTGATAATGTTTGTTTATGCAGGTGCTAGTGATCTCTGTTATTTTATATTTTATTTTATCTTACTGTATCTTATCTTATTTTACTTTATTTCTTCATGGCCATTAAACTTGTCCAGAGAGAGAATCTATGGCAGCCCCATTTCCAGAAGTTTCTGCTTTTCAAGAAATAAGGGAAAGCTCCAAGAAGGCTTCTTTCTACATCTGTTGAATCTCAAATGGTCTTTAGGTTAAAATAATCTTCCTACCAACTCTGGGGCTGTCAGTGGGCCCCCACACCGCTAATTCCCTAGCATCACTAATCATGGCTTCTTCCTGGAGTGTTCTTGCCTTGGTATTTCCAGCCTGCCTCCATTGCTGGCAAGCTTGCTCCTTCTGCAGGAGAAAGACCTTATGTAGACAGTCCAGGTGCAAATGCAGTCAAAAGACTTGGGCAAGGCTTTAGAGCTACTTCCGCTCTCCTTAGGGTTTTTCTCTTCCCCCTCTGGCCCCTTTAATGCTGCTATAATAGAAGGCTCTATTCTCTCATGCTTGCTTTACACACATTGTGGTAGGAGATCTGATCAACTCTCACAGCTTCAGTTACCTAATAATCTGATGTCACTCAAATCTATATTCCCCTCATCTTTTGTAAGCTCTAGATCTGTGTGCACAATACAACTGCCTACTGAGCACTTGGATTGTCCACTGCAAATCCAATACAATAGAAATTGAAGTTATAGTCCCTTAAATCCTCTTCTGTTATTCCTTATCTTGTCTTGATTTCTAGAAATCCATTCATCTCACTCCTGCCAGAGATCTTTCTAACACGCCTCTCCTAAGTATGGTCAGGCACTATTTGTTAAGTTTACAGGTAGAGTAATGAACAGGACAAACCAGATTTCCTACTTTCACGTGCCTGAATTCTACAAATACAGAAATAAATAAGGAGGAACACGATCAGTGGTAAGTTCCATGTAGAGACCGAGGAACCACTTTCGATTGGGAGGTCAAGAAAGGTCTTGTTGAGGGGTGCCTGGGTGACTCAGTTGGTTAAGTGTCCAGCTTCGGCTCAGGTCATGATCTCACTGTTCGTGGGCTCGAGGCCCACGTCGGGCTCTGTGCTGGCAACTCAGAGCCTGGAGTCTGCTTCGGGTTCTGTGTCTCCCTCTCTCTCTGACCCTCCCCTGCTCACCCTCTCTCTCTCTCTCTCAAAAATAAAACACTGAAAAAATTTTTTTAAAAAAAGAAAGGTCTTGTTGAAGATGTGTCATTTAAGCTCAGATGAAAGATGGAAAGGAGACATCTAGAGCAGCGGAAACATTCTGTGCAGAGGGCTCCTGCCACTTCCGGCTGAAATTCCTTCAATGGCTTCCCATGCCTTCAGGATAGAAGTCCAAATTTCTAAGCATGGCAGAAAAGATCTGGCCTCTCGCCAGTCACCTTCCTCTTTAGCTTCTTTACATTACATGCCATCAACTCTTTTAATCTCCACAACCACCTGCAAGATAGCTGGCTGAGTTCCTCCCTTAGGTCTTAGGCATCTCTGTTTTCTGTCACTGTGTGACCAGTGGCTCAAAAGCTGTTCATTAAATTAGCAAGCTGTTGGGCAGAAAGGATAGCTGCTTCAATTTATTTATTTTTAATAAAAAAATTTTTTTAATTTACATCCAAGTTAGTTAGCATATAGTGCAATATTTCCAGAGTAGATTCCAGTGATTCATCCCCTATGTATAACACCCAGTGCTCATCCCAACAAGTGTCCTCCTTAATGACCGTTACCCATTTAGCCCATCCCCCCACCCACACCCCCTCCAGCAACCCTCAGTTTGTTTTCTTTTTCTTTTTTTAACGTTTATTTATTTTTGAGACAGAGAGAGACAGAGCACAAGCTGGGGAGGGGCAGAGAGAGAGGGAGACAAAGAATCTGAAACAGGCTCCAGGCTCTGAGGTGTCAGCACAGAGCCTGATGCCGGTTCGAACCCACAAACCGCGAGATCATGACCTGAGCCGAAGTCGGACGTTTAACCGACTGAGCCACCCAGGCGCCCCAGTTTTCTGTATTTAAGAGTCTGTTATGTTTGTCTCTCTCTGTTTTTTTTATTCTTTTTGCTTCCCTTCCCTTATGTTCATCTGTTTTGTATATTAAATTCCTCATGAGTGATGTCATAGGAGTGATTGCTCTTATATATTGCACTTAGCATAATACCCTCTAGTTCGATCCGTGTTGTTGCAAATGGCAAGATTTCATTCTTTTAGACTGTCGAGTAATACTCCATCGTATATATACCACATCTTCTTTATCCATTAATCTCTGGATAGACATTTGTGCTCTTCCCATACCCTGGCTATTGTCAATAGTGCTGCTGTAAACATTGGGGTGCATGTGCCCCTTAGAAACAGCACACTTATATCCCTTGGATAAATACCTAGTAGTGCAATTGCTGGGTGTAGGCTAATTCTGTTTTTAACTTTTTGAGGCAGCCCCAAACTGTGTTCCAGAGCGGCTGCTCCAGTTTGCTTTCCCACCAGCCGAGCAAAAGAGAACCTCTTTCTCCACCTTCTCACCAACAAGGATAGCTGCTTCATAGACGCACAGGTCTAGACTGGTGCGGGCCAAAGGAAATATAGTGAGTGCCATACGTAATTAAAAATTTGCTCGGAGCTACGTTAGGAAAGTCAAGGAAATAGTTGCAACTGTAAGAACATTTTATTTCAATATCATCAATCGAACACGATCGACAAAGTTCTTAATGAGAATCTTCGCATTCTAAATCTTTGCAATCCAGGCTGTGTATCTCACACTTACATCACGTCTCAGTGCGAACTGGTCCCATTTCAAGGCCTCGACAGCCGCATGCGGAGTCCTTCCCCCAGCAACTCCCGAAGGCCACCCGGGCGGCCGGCGGGGCCCCTCGTACCGCATTACCTGTTTTACCTTTGCAGTCGTCACGGGCACCACGGACCCTCTCACTCTGCTGACAGGTCACGACCCCCCCGCC